AGGTCCTTGTTTTTTGCAAACAGTTCCAACTGTATTACATCGTGACTAAAATCTCTACTCTAACTAGTGAGAGATTGTTCTGCATTAATAATAGAGCAGTTTAATTACTGTTATGTATGTGCATACACTTGCTTAAACTAATCAGCTCTATGCTGGTATACAATCACTGTTAACGATAATGACTGAATAGTAAGTGGCTTTTGGCAAAAGGTTACCTTAAAAAATTAAATTAAAAAAATTAAGATTTTTTTCATCTTTAACGTGATTAATTTTAAATAGTTTATTATTTTGTTGTTGTTATCAGTTCCCCTTAGATAGACAAGGTCTGTACGTATTTATAATCTGTATTTTCCCAGGATTTTAAAGAGGGTTTAAAGCAGCTTGGTATGTTAAATAATGCAAATAAACAAACACTTTAAAGTAAACTATGACTAAAATAAATTCTAAGATGAAATTACATTTTAAATGCATTTGCTTTAAACATTGTAGGTGTCGGGTGTAAGAATAAACTGAGATCTTTACAATGAAATAATCCCTAAACAGTCTAAAGTCTCAACCATGATGGGAGGAAGGTTATTGGGAAACATATTTAATTCTCAGCTGGCTGCGAGAGTTGTCACTTTTTCTCCTTTCAAAATAAAGGATAGAGGCACGTAGCTACTGCTTCCCATCAGTGAGTGTGGGGTTGTCGTATCTCCGAGCTAATGTTGCATTTCTGGCATATGTAATTCGATAGCGGCCAACAAAAAGCTATTGAGTTGTTTTAGGAACTGAAGTCAGTAACAAGTGTGACCCAAAAGCTATTTCTTGTACCCCTAAGAAGCCACAGCATATTTTTGTTTTACTCAAATACCGGGTAAATTGGGGTAAAAATGCTAACGGTGAACAAGCCAATAGCTAGCTCTAAAAACGTGCTACTTCTTCAAATAATAACAACTTAATATTACCGCGTCAAACGTGATGTTTTTCTTCTGTAAATTAGTCATTCAGAGCAATAAAAGCAAGCCAACAAAACAACTTCCTCTATGCAGGAGGCGTATTACCGTAATAAGTGTAGTAAGTGCGCCCTTCCGCAAAACACCCAAGAGTGCTAGCACAAGCTATGACAATGTAAATATTTACTTATCAACTTGCTGCGTATGACTTGTCTTTCCTAGTTATCTAGAATCTTCTGGTGCAGATCCGTAATAACAACATTAGTGAAACGGTAATGAGAAAGTGATTGTAGTAACCAAATTTGACCACAGGATGTCACTAATACTCCATTCTTACACATTGCACCTTTAAGCAAAATATCTTTGAAAACTAGTGTTTTATTTTAAAAATATTCTATATGGGTACACTGCAGCTCATATGATTCAGAGGGAAAAAAACAGGTAAACATCAGGTAAAGAAAAAAACACTTACAGTAAAATAAATAAATAAATGCCCTTTTGGAGATAATAATCTTAATAAGATTAGTTTCTCCTCCTTCATGGTCTGTGTCTGCGTCTGTGTCTTCCTTCATGTGTCTCCTGATGTTCCTCCATCCCTCTCTGGATTCTCTTCTGTGTCTCATAGCGCCCTCATGTGTCCTTTGCCTGCGTCTCAGTTAAGTGTCTTATGTTGTTTCCCTTTTTAATCATTCCTCCCAGGTCAGCTCCAGCCTCTTTGTCCCCAGCTCAGTGTGTGTGTGTGTGTGTGTGTGTGTGTGTGTGTGTGTGTGTGTGTGTGCGTGTCCTCCCCAACTCAGTGTAGGTGTGTGTGTGTGCGTGTGTGTGTGTGTCCTCCCCAACTCAGTGTATGTGTGTGTGTCATGTCATCCTCCAGCTAGTTTGTGTGAGCCCTTCCCTCTGTCTTTAGATATTGTTGTTTAGTTTTGTGTTTAGGTATTTGCCCTCCTCTGTTTCTGTTTTGCCAGGTCGATTATTTGATTCACCTGTCTTCCCTCCAGCCCTCACTCCACACACCTGCTGCCAATTTCCCTAATTACTCCTCCCTGTGTATATAAGCCCTGTCTTGTCTCTGTCTTGTGTCGGTCCATTGTTATATGTCTGTCAGCGTTTGTTCGTGCTCTGTCTGAGCTTTTTTGTCTCCAGTTGTTGGTGCTCTAAAGAGACCTTTGGGTGTCCTGTCCTCCAGGACTTTTGGACTTTTGGCTCGCTGCCATTTTGGATTTATTTTCGTTTCTTCCTAAATAAAAGGATTTTTACTTTTACCAACTTCTGCCTCGAGTCATCCTGGGAATCTGCATATTTGGGTCCTGCACATCCCCACATCGTGACACACACAGTACGTTTGGGAGCTTCACTGTTTATAGTAATACTGTAAATATGACAACTTTGATAAAAAACAAAAGAAAAAAAATCAGGTAATTTATCTCAGGGTATTTTCAGGTTATCTTTTTCATCAACTGTCACTCAGGGCCTGTTCTGAGTGTTAAAGAGGAAGCAGCAGCGTTGTCTTCAGACAGGTCTGGGCAGCCCCGGGGAGACCGGGTCCCTAATTGACAGTGATGTGTTCTTTGAGTCTGTGCTGAAATTTCTCATCCTCCGAGTTGACCAGAGCTGCAGCGCCTGACAGGACAAATTAATTAACATGTAGAAAAAAAAGGAGGAGGATAAAAATAACAACCTTGGAAAAAATATATAATTAGGAGCCAGCTCCTTAAGAGAGGAAATCTGCTGGTATAACACAGTTCCTTCCAACAACTTCAATTAAACATTTTCCTGTGACACAATTAGGCCAAAAGCAATAAAAGGAAAAGTCGCTATGCTCAAGCTTTCACCTGTTCACTATTAAAACACATCCTGGCAGAATCCATGCATTATTTGTGCAAAAGTGTCACAAGGCCATGTCATCTTTTTTTATTTAAAGGGGATTAAAGGCTCCAGATCTGATTTTTAAAGTAATCAACATACCCCCCTTTGGATTTATTGAGCTAGAAAATTATAATTGTGATCTACACAAACATCTTTAGCTTTTGATAATTAAGAAAACATATTCTTTCATCCAAAAGTGACCTTTTAAAACAGGTAAATGAAGGAATTAGAGCTTTTTGTTTGCATACACTAACATGGGAGGTAATTCAACATGCACAGGCAACACTATTTAGCATTTAGAAAGATGCTAAGAAGAGCGGGTTAAAAGAAGCATGTCTGGAGGTCATATCTTGTAATTATGTGCGTGCATGCGCGCGCGCGCGCGTGTGTGTGTGTGTGTAGGCATTTTCTTGTAATAAGCCACCACTTCTGATCAAGCTGTGACCTTCTGCGTTTGCAAAACTCACACATGAAATCTGACTCCGATGGTTTCCAAGAACAGTTTATCATCCAGTGCTGTGAAAAAGTATTTGCATCTGCACAGATATAGTCTGTTTTTGCATCTTTCATCAACTTAAATGTTTTCAAAAAGCAAACCTAGTTTAATGTCAAAGATCACTCAATAAATACAAAGGATAATTTTACTGATGAAGAGGCGAAAAAAACATCCAAACCGACCTGGCCCTCATTTGTAAAGCTGAGCTCTGTTTCACATGAAGACCTGATTACTGTAAGACCAGTAAATGTAGGGAGTCACTTCAGTCAGACAACAAGAAGCAGACTAAAATATCTAAAGAACAAATGCACATCACACCCAGGTTTAAAGAAAGTCAATAAAATGATACAAAAGCCCTGCTGGTCTTACCAGGTAAAGTTCACGATTCAGAAAAAAGACAAAAGTAGGGATGGACAATATATCGGCATCAATATCGGTATCGGCCAATGTTAGTCACTTTTTAACATATCAGTATCGGTTCAATTAATAAAACTGGGCCGATGTTAACTCATTCACTGCCAATGCCGATTTAAGTCGTCATTGCATGTTTTTACTGTGTGGGCATCGGAACGAGCCCCCGCACCGTGAGAAAAAACATCTCAGCTCTAAAGCCGATCTTCATCCGCATACGTCACACGTCAGGAAGCAGAAAATCCACGTGTTAGGAGATCGTTTTGGGCCGCTGCTGTAACAAAAGTGAGGCGTGAACCGGAAAAGCTTCTTCCGATCACAATTCAAGATATTGGTATTGGCAAATATTGGTTATCGGCCATAAGAGTGATCTTAATATCAGATATCGGTATCGCCCCAAATATTTCATATCGGTGCATCCCTAGACAGAAGTATGGAAACGTTTTTATACCAGTCGATTTCCATGCTTTATTCATTGCGAGAATGTCTCTCTCATCAGAATCAGAAAGAAAAACAAATAAACAAAAACATCATATTATAAGTTGTTTATCAGGAATCCTGAATAACAAATGTTATCACAAAATATTGCACTGTGTCTTCTTTATTCACAAGCACACACACACTCACACTCACACTCACACTCACACTCACACACACACACACACACACACACACACACACACACACACACACACACACACTCAACAGGATCTATTCTCCCTGCCTTACTCGTCATCCCGTTCTTTCTGCTCTGTGAGGCAGGTTAATGGCAATAATAAAAATCACACTCTGTATTTCCTCTTTGCTTTGAACGGCCTCATCAATCTACAACCTGCATAAAATACTGAAAAAAAGGTGAAACAAATGAAAAATAAAAATGAAGAATAAAAAGAAGAGAAGGAAATCAATCATGTCTAAAATAACTGTGGTCTTTATATCAACCCTAAAGGTTCATTAATTAGGAAGAGCTTGTTGTGTAAAGTAACAGCTGACTGCCACATTCAGGTTTATCACTAACTTGATGCTTCCTCCATCCTCACCTCTTGTTGCTATAGAAACCTGAAAACCACCAAGAAGTACCCATGTTCCATTACCTCAACAATAATACGGGATCACAATGCCAATGCATGACGACACTTGTTCAGTTTCTATTTAAAAAAGCTTTTTGAGGACTTTTAAAATGTGATTTCAGGGTCAGAAAAATCATATGCAAGCGGGGTTATGCTATGAGAGTGTAGAGAGCAGAAAAAGAAACAGCAAGCATTGGAAAAGAAGAAGAAACAGGAACTTACTGGAGGTACAGTTTATCCTGATACAATCTAGACGGGGAAGAATAGATGAGAGATAAATTCATCTTTCAACGTTACAGCTGCAGACATCATTAAAGCACACAGTCCACCCCTCTGGGGACACACACACGGATGCTGTCCGTCTTCTGATGCTCTCCCCCATGGCCTCCAGCTGCAGCCAGCTGGTAAAAGCTCTGCAGTGGCGCTTTATTGGATTTTATATTATAGCAAAGGATGGAATCAGCAGAGCGGAGGCTTATATTTTCCTATTGTTTTAGTTTGCTCATCTGAGAATTAATATTTTGCAGGTTTTATTTTTTTGAGATGATGTCATAAGGAGAGCATCAGATTTTGGTCAGGGTCACACAGGGCCAACTGGTAGGTTTCCCCTTTTTTATGTGTATACATCAAAGTTTTAATACAGTGTTAACGGACCTTTCTAGCTTTTAATATTTTGGCAGCAGACTTGTCCAGCTGTCTGGACTTTATCAAAAATTAATATTTATAAGTCTGAGACAAACATGTATTTAATCGGGTGCTGTTTTCCCCTCTATTTTTCCTATTCATATTATTGACATCATCAATTTTTTGCAAATTCAATCTAAACAAAACAAAATGAATGTTTGAACATATTTTCCCCAAAGACAAGTTAGATTGGCCAATACAGTTATATGTTGCTTCCATGATACTAGAGAATATTCTACTGACGTGATCATAAAAGCTCTATTTGGCATCACACAAGAAATTCTCAGTAAAACCAAGTCCCGATCTTCTCTTACAGTTTTGTTTTCGAGCTCTGAGCTTGTGCCGTGCTCTAAGAAAGGTGACCCAGAACAACCTCCTCCCACCCCTCCTTCCCATTTGGCCCTGCTTGTCATGTGTTGTCAACCACAGCAGAAAAGTGGTTGCAAACAGCCAGAGAACAACACAAGCCTATCCTCGCAGAGAATGCTCGCCGGCTTTTGTTTTTTCAAGCGAGGGACAAGGAGGACTGGTTTCAAGGGCTCGAGGCCGGAGACAAACTCAAAGTCTTAAATGTGTCAAAAAGAATTCAAAAGAAAACAAAACAGGGCAGCCTCTTGTTTACATCAGAGGGCATCTTCTTGTGGCGCCGGTGATCTGACGTGTCAGCCCTGTCAGAGCGTGACGCTGTTGTTTTCGTGAGTGGGACACATGCTTATTTGAGGTTGACAGCAGACACGGGCTTGTGTACTGTGCATGAACGACTAAATGGCTCCGCTTAGGGAGCCTTTTTCTGTTTAGTCAGTGGAAGGAAAAGACTGATGACTATCATTTGGCAGGCATTGAACTTCCCATGGTCATCACTAGGCTCCCAACCCACATAATTATACCCAAAAGATTGTGATATTTGGGCCAGTTTTCACTATCGGAACCTCTGGGTAATTTTACCAGACCTTCACGGCATACTAGTGTCTCCATTTAACAAGGCCGTCCCGAAAAGGGGTTAACTCATGCTGAACTCAGTTGGAAATGACACAGGCAGACGTTGACAAAACAACCAGCAACGAAGGAAAAGAAAAAAAAACTGCATTGAAGCTGATTTAAAATTAGCTGTTTCTAAACTCACAACGCTGAAAAATGCCGACTACACCATAATTTAGATTGTTTAGCGTGAGCACGGAGTCGGTGCATCTTCTGATCATTGAACGCCACATTTTACTTCTCACGGTCACTCTCCCGGTCCCTGAAGGGATCAAATTTGGGCGCACTTTGACAGAACAAAACTTTTTTTATGGTATTAAAATCAGTGGAAGCCTTTTGGTGCTGATCAGTGATTGTCACTCACTACTCTTAAATGTGCATCTAAATCTAGGTTAATCTAAGAACTGGGAGCCTTTATCATAGTTCACATGTATGTTAGAAAACCAAACTCTCACATGAAGTTCATTGCACTTGGGTACAGTAGGTCACGACATGCGCCCTTTCGTGTCGGCATTCTTTTGGTTAGCTTAGCAAATAGTAAACAAAGGCTAGTGGGAGTGAAGCAAACAAGGCTAAAACAGGATATAAACAATGGCCGAAGGAAAGGACAGAAGACCGCTTCCATGGTCTTGTCACTTCCAGAAGTTACAGGTTACAGCTCGACTGAGCCGTTCACATGCAGATGCAGTCGGGCTCCTACCACAATATCTAGGTGCTTCAGCATGATTACAACCAGTTTGCCTTCAGCAAGACTAACATTTAAAAAGAATGACATCAGTATATTTAGGGCAATAGTTTGGCTTTCTGATACACATGTAAACACATCGACTCACTGCCAAAACAGTCCCATTATGCTGACGTCTCAGAAAAGTCCTGAAAGGGCCGTTTTTGTTTGGAGAAACGACGACTGAGAGGAGCGAGCTAGCATTTTTCCCCCTGTCACATTCACCCCTCCCAGCAATTTCCCAGAACTCCTAAAAGCAGCTACAAGTTCTACAACCCTCAAGTCAACAATAATAATGCAGAATTTAGGAATTTTCCTCATCTATGGATCTGAATACGGAGACCTAATGAGCAGCGAGCATTCTCGGCTAGGCGGTGGCATCTGTGTGTTCAACTGGCAGTAAGCCTTGAGCCGCAGACTTCAGACCGTGAAAGTTGTCACACACTCTCATTCTTCTCAACCGATCCACTAAATAGTAACAACTGATGGCATGTGTAGGCAGAAATCTGAATGTGCTAACAAGCCTGAACTGGCTCTGCTGCTGCTGCAGTGTACATCCGAGGCGTTACCTAAATTGACAGTCAGCCGAACGCGGCCACTCTCCAACTCTAGGCGCAGGGTGTCAGCCGAATCCTGAGACGTGGTGGCTATCAGGAGGCCGTAGGCTCGCTGGGAGCGGAACCTCAGAGACACGTCCTCAGCTTCTGTGTGCATCACCACTGGAAGCTGCACCTTCATGAATTTGCTGCCATCGTAGCTGAGGATAGTGGCCTCTGTGGAGAGGAGAAGAAAGAGAATAAGATGAGTGAACTGTAATATGGATTGCAGCAGTTTTATGGTAAACTAGTGGCAAGAGCTGTCGGCGTAGCGTAAAGTGATGTTCTGTTTGTTGACACAGTTTAGTGCCGCGACCTTCAATCTGCTCTCAGAGGAACAATGAATCGATGAACTTAAGAGGCACAAGGACAGCTGCAGTCTTCCAGCAGTAAATTTGGATGTTATTCTCTGACAGGTGATGACGCGCAACTTTTTTTTTCATGAAGAATTTCACATGTAAAACTTCTGACTCCCTTCTTAACATTTTGATGCAAATTAATTTAGAAAATTGATCAAATTGCCATTAAGTAATAAAAAATGCATGCTTTTCTCTGTTTATTTATTCATATTTTGTTCTTCAAGAACTTGCAGCAGGCAGTCAGTGAGGAGAAAATAGTCATTTACAACAATCCTGAAACATGCATCTACCCAACAGGAAACTACAGCTCAGTTCAGGGACACACATTTACCAGCAAGGAATTGACATATTTGTTTTCCAGTCGCTGTGCTTGAGTTGTTTGGGACAGACGGAAACTGACACATTGAAACAAATGCACGTCACTTAAAAAAAATAAATAAATGAAAAAAAGAATAAAAATACTTTGTACCTCAAAAATGTAGGCATACAGAGCTTCTTGTTAACATCTCTAGTTAAAGAACCACAGCTGTGATTGACAGAAACACCACCTCAAAAATGAGCCAGAAGCTGGAAAAGTTGTGTTTCTGTGTTGGCATCAGGAGAGCGAGACAATTCTAACCAAGGTAATACAAAAGGAGAGTAGCTATTATTATGTGAGTGGCTGAATGACATGTTTCCAGATATCCCAGCCAAAAGCAGTTTGTAATGACTTGTCACATGTCTACCATCACATCATGCTGGATCTTGCAGCTGACAGCTACTGTTGTCCCTGAGCCAATTCTGTATATGGACTCTATCACTGGAATGACAATGCAAGCGCTTGGGCAGGAATTAGAGGTGGGAAAAATGATCGATTCTAAGATGCATCGCGATTCAGCCGTGCATGATTCCGCATCGATGCAGCAACGTGACATAATGAGATTCTCTCCCTATGTCTATGTCGGGGGTCGGCAACCACGGCTCTGGAGCCGCATGCGGCTCTTCCATCCATCTGATGCGGCTCTCTGTGCTTGTAAAATAATGAATGGATATTTAAATAAAATGCTTTATATTTTACTGCATTAATTTTACATCTGTAAGCCAATTCTAAATGTAAAGATTGTCTGCGTAAACCTGAACAGGTCCAACCCGGTCTTACTGTGAGACCGGGTTGACGCGTCACGCTTGTGCGTAATCATATGCGCTTCCTGAGCTGGAGGATGTCAGATTCTGGGATTCTCCTCAGACGGCTCCTGGATCTGTCGCCACATTGGAGACAGGAACAAGCACTATTCAGCCAAAGTTTCATAATCAGGGAACATTTTCTAAGTGACAAGTCTTGCTTCAGTCGCAGGAATCTTCCTGCATGCGCTTTCTGCGATGTGCTCCAAGCCCCTCTCCACATCTTCAGCTCGCTGTGCGCCGTACGTACGCGCTGACAGCGAGCTGCGCTGAGCTCAGTGTCAAGCTCAGATGGGAATCATTTCTTAAGTGATTTAGCGACATCTGCGCGAAACGAATAAAGTGTCAGTTCGTCTGCATGCGTCGGGGTAATTCTTTCTCCGTCAAAATAAACGGTTAAATACGGGAACTATCCGGTCAACACAACACAAGCCCTGCTTTTAACTGTTCTGTTTTCTTGTGAAAATTGTTGCAAAGAGATATAATTAAACTTGATTAACACCAGAGCCAGGCGCACTGCGCCGGTATCTCTGTCACTGTAAATGAGGGAAAAACAAATTGATCGGATCCTTTTCTGACCTTCCCCACCTACAAAATTTAATTACAACAATCAAACGTGACAGAGACTGGATTTGTATTCTGAACAGTCTAAACATGTTTTAAAAAGAAACGTATGACAAAAGTGGCACCTGCTCAGTAAAACCACCAACAGGGTGAAAAATATCAAAATATTGTAGGCAGAGACGGGCTACAGCTTCTGGATCCACTTTATATAAATCGTTTTATTGATTATCGTCTTATGAAAGATAACTTTGACGTACACGAGCGACCGGTACTGGCTGCTTGTGAGCAGCTCTCTGCTGTCTGAGGGTAGGCCCCGCCCACAACGCCACGGCTGCTGTGGCTCCCAGTGTTTTCTTTACTGTGGGAAACGGGTAATAATGGCTCTTTGATGGGAACTGGTTGCCGACCCCTGGTCTATGTCTATGCAGGACAATACAGTTTTGAGGTTTTATAATTACTTCTGGGGGCAGAGTTGCAATGACATGCGCACTGCGTTGCCCTAGCGCCAATTTAAAACAGAAAAGGCAGACAGGGATACAGGGCCAACATTACAAGTAATCAAAGATGTACCCGTTACATTTAAATCGGATGTCTGGGCTAATTTCGGTTTTGGGATCCTGGATGTGAAAGAACCACTTAACACAGTATTTGTTTACTATTTTTAAGTTCAGTAATATTCTATCTTAAAGCTGCTCTACCGAAAACATTATTTCTTATATTATTTAAGTAATTATAGGCAGCACACTTTAAAAATTATTGCTCACTATAGTGAATAGATGAATGTTCTGTTTTTCAGGGATTTCGAAATCAAAAAGAAATTGAAAACTATTCTTCTGCTTTTATTAAATAATGAAATTTTTTGTGTGAAGAATCGTGATGCATTTCAGACTCAAATCGAATCGTTAGGCAAATAATCGGAATCGGATCGAATCATGAGGCAGGTAGAGATGCACACCACTAGCAGGAATAAGAAGCCAATTAATGCAAAATGACTTGTGATGAGACATTTTGGATGAATCGTCAAAATAACATTTGTGCACAACTCTGAAAGGGTTAAGGTCTTTTGGCAGTTGGAGTATATGTTTTAAATGGCTATTAGTACCAGTATATTAAGTGGGCTGGTATGGAATGGTATTCAGTACTGGTGATCATACCTCTCAACACACCGGTACTCTTTCCAGGCATCAATCAGTTGAAACCCATTCATCTGTCTGTTCCTGCTCTGATGGAGATCAGAGGGACACCCCCACCCCTGCTCTGTCAGAATAAGGTGAGTATCGGCACCTCTATGAAAATGCAGGATGACTTTTATTTTACTCAGCCTTAGCTCATTTAGTTATGGTTGACTGTCTTTAAAGAGCAAGTCACCCCATATCAACTAATTTTTTGCTGATAAACTATAAAGGAGTGTCTAATAGTGATGTAGACACGTCATTATTTTGGCATTTTAGTGAATCTTTTAAATGTAAATATTCAACCCAAAACCATCAGTGTTGTGCCCTTTTCAGGCTAAAACTATGCACTATACTGAATTTGAATCGGCCATCTCTATTGGCTAGGCGGTACCTTGTGACATCAGCCGGTACCATATTACATCAGCTGCACTGCCGATGTGGGGTGTAAAAGCAGCCAAGCTTTGAGCTTGGCTACTCCTCCTTGGCGAGTTGGAGTTGAAACACCAAGACAAGTCAAAAGCCATTGGTTCGAAACGATACAGTCAGTCAGTGCCATTCGCTCCTGCAGCTCCGCCATTTCAGCCTGCCAGGCAACGCCTCCTCGTGATGCGGTGTGCAAACTAGATGTGTGGGTGGAGTAGTAAGACTTGCTCTTTAATGCGTTTGACTCAAAAAGTTGTTGATTTGTAGAAAAACATCTAATGTTTGCACCCCGAGCATTTCATTAAAACTCATTTATTATTGCCGCCGATATCTCCCGGGACTCTGCCGGCTGCTGGTTGTGGCCCCCCGGGGCGATCCTCTGCACCTCTCGAGGGGAGCGAGGGCTTTTCTGGTCACAGTCTCCCTTGAGTTCCTGTGCTCTGGGGCAGCTCTTGGATCTCTGGGACTTGGAGCTCCCTCCGTCTCCTGCACATCTTTAGGGGGCAGATCTGTGGCCCCTCACACTCTATTGGATGCTCCTATAGAGAAACCTTACATAAACAAGCGCGTGTACACACACAGGTGCTCACATGGTGCTCTCATAAGTATCGACTTAGGCACATTCAACATGTCTTAAGGCTATGGTGGGCACTAAATGCACAGTGATATACAGGTGCTGGCCAGTAAATTAGAATATCATCAAAAGGTTGAAAATATTTCAGTAATTCCATTCAAAACGTGAAACTTGTACATTATATTCATGCAATGCACACAGACCAATGTATTTCCAATGTTCATTACATTTAAATTTGATATTCATAAGTGACAACTAATGAAAACTCCAAATTTGGTATCTCAAAAAATTAGAATATTCTGAAAAGGCTGAATATAGAAGACACCTGCTGCCACTCTAATCAGCTGATTTACTCAAAACACCTGCAAAGGCCTTCAAAAGGTCCCTCAGTCTTGTTTTGAAGGCACCACAATCATGGGGAAGACTTCTGACTTAACAGCTGTCCAAAAGACAATCATTGACACCTTGCACAAGGAGGGCAAGACACAAAAGGTGATTGCTAAAGAAGCTGGCTGTTCGCAGAGCTCTGTGTCCAAGCACATTAACAGACAGGCGAAGGGACGGAAAAAATGTGGTAGAAAAAAGTGTACAAGCTCTAGGGATAACCGCACCCTGCAGAGAATTGTGACGACAAACCCATTCAAAAATGTGGGGGAGATCCACAAAGAGTGGACTGCAGCTGGAGTCAGCGCTTCAAGAACCACCACGAGGAGACTCATGAAAGACATGGGATTCAGGTGTCCCATTCCGTGTGTCAAGCCACTCTTGAACAAGAAACAGCGCAAGAAGCGTCTCGCCTGGGCCAAGGACAAAAAGGACTGGACTGATGCTGAGTGGTCCAAAGTTATGTTTTCTGATCAAAGCAAGTTCTGCATTTCCTTTGGAAATCAAGGACCCAGAGTCTGGAGGAAGAGCGGAGAA